TAAAAGCAAGAATTTCCGACCCTTCTTTATGAGCGTCGAAAAAGGAGCAATGGGACAAAAAGACTGGTTATCGATTTCACGTGAGAAACAACCGTGCAGATCCGTAATCTCTGTATTATCTTTGCAGATCGTATATGAAAAAGAGAAGCAAAAAGGAATTCCAATTCGCGAATTCTTCTCCTAATTCCTGACCATCGAGGAGCATTAAAGATACCGCGGAAGAGGGTCTTAATTGGAAGGGAAACCCTTATAAAGACGGGGGGTTAAAGGAGATTTATGTACGACTTCTAACCAAGAACCGCCAAAGGAAGACGATAGCGAGTGGAACGAAGGCGAAGAACACCGAAGAAACAGCCCTCTTAAGGAAGCTTAGGAAACCGTACAACTTCCGACAGAAATTCCTCAGCGATATTGGTGTAAAAACGAAATCACGAATGGAAAGAAAATTCGAACGCGGATGATAGGAATAAACGCGATGCGGGGTGGTGTAAAGAGATGCAAGGGGTTGTTTGGTGAAAGAAAAAGCGGTACTCACGATGCTTGTTCGTCGGCTGCCTGCTCTCGAACGGGGCTTGCGCTACCTCTGCTCGCTGGTTGCTCGCTGGTCAGACTCAACACGACCGGAAACGATTCGAAAAACAAGAGTGAACGTGTCTCGTGACGATGAGAAGGGAAGAAAAACACGGGGTGTCGCGTTTTACAAGCGCATCGTTATACGCCCTGCGACATCGACGACGGTGTAGACGGTGGAAAATCTATCGGTGGCACGGTCTCTCGACGATGGGACACGAGTGCGCCTGACCGCTGGCGGACACGAACATGGCCGACCCGACGAAATCGATAAAACACGTTACGTTTTCCGCCGTTTCGACGGAGCCGACGCTCTGCGCCTTCCACCCCCTCTGGACGGATGCGTGCGCCGGAGTCGTCGTCGTCGACGACGCCGGGCACAACGTTGTCGTAGGCGACGTCACGCTAGACCATGCTCCATGCTCCATTCTTCCACCTTTTCCGCGATCTGCCCTCATCTTCCGTCATATTTCACACGCTCCAAAGGGTACGGAGAGTATAGGTGCTCGCGAGACGTCCTCTTAAGCGTTTAGGGTCTGAGAAGATACTATTAGACGTTGGCAGAGTATAGAGGGTGGTTGGAGGAAATTCCGATTTTTCTTTCTCGTACAGACTCGTTCGTTTCTCTCAAATGTTTTTCGAGCTTTTTGCCAGATGGAGAATGGGTAACGATTACATGGAATTGCCTTTTTGCGAGGCTGTTAACGTTAGGGCGAAGGGAGATGGCACAGAAAATGACGATAATCGAATCGAATCCCTCTGGGGTGGACGGTTCAGACATCAGAGGATTAAAGAGGCATGCGAATAGAGTTAGGGACGGGTGACTTAGAGATCTTTAAATGAGCAAAAATAGGTCTTATTTAATCATGGCACGCGGGCATTGGCAGCGTTACAACGGGAGGAAAACTGGAAACGAGTCGTGAGATTCTTTTGTTGATTTGTAGCGTTCGTTAGATGACATGTCATAGGTGCTGTGGATAGTCCAGGGTGTTTTTATAAACGTCTAATTATTGTTACAACGGGTGGAAACGAATTGTGAGATTCTTTTGTTGATTTGTAGCGTTCGTTAGATGACATGTCATAGGTGCTGTGGATAGTCCAGGGTGTATTTATGAAGGTCTAATTATCGTGAGTTATACAATACGTGGATGAAGACTGAGGAAGGTATACATTAAGATTCATCGTAATCTTAGCCTATGACAGGTCTGAAAATATATGAGATCTAGTAAGACGATATAAACGTTGGGAAAGTACGATCAAAACGTCTAAAAATCGATGGACCAGGATCTGTCTGTCAAAATACGATAGGATTCGTGTCGTATCACCGAGAGTTCGAAAAACTGGAAACAAATCGCTGCGAGAGTCAAAGGAAGCAAGTCAATCGCTTCTCATTGAGCAAAGACCTCCGCCAATCCATCAAGAGATAAGGGGAATGATGACAGATAACCTCCAGACCAAAGAACCTAAACGAACCATCCTAGACTCGAGGAACAGAAGTTACCAGGGCTAAAGGATACCAGTGAAACCACATAGAGATCCAGGACAAACCATGCAGAGATCACAGGGCACTTGAATTGTACATGCTAGTGTCTGATGGACCCTAGTCAGACCACCTGTCTATATAGACTCCTACCCAGGTTCCTCGGGCTCTGGGTGACCCAGCTGGGATCCGTTGACCTCTGAATTATGCCACTCGAGTTCCTTCATCTTTGGATGATCTGGTCATGTTCCGCCTACGAGCTGATAAAACTTTGCTCCCGTATTTACGCGATATTCTTTCACTCTCTTGCCTTTCCTCTGCTTCCACGTTTGCCTAATTTCGCGTGAAAGACTCCACGCTATTCGCTCCTATCGATTGCTACCTTTTTTCGAAGCAATTATTTCAGACGTTGCTTTGTGTCGAGTCAAGGTGTCATAAATCTAAATATAGATGGGTTTGGAGAATTACATGGCTGAAATATTCGGGCGATTTCATATGTCGATCGAGGTTTGGTTAAACTGGAGGATTAGTTCGGCGTAAGTGAGGCTAAATCGGTCAAATAATTGAATGTATATACCAAGCATCGAATAGTTTCAAGCTTGACTAGCTACGAATTTGATTTAAAGTTGCTGAGTGATTGTGATGGATGAACGAGTTTGCGCAAATTTTTGTTCAGATCTTGAGACGCGATATGGACTGGACTTCGATAAATTGCCTTCTCTGGCATGATTAATTCCAAGCTAGGATTAATAGTGCTTGTATATTTATTTTTCTACGATACAAATCTCGCGATAAATGTAAATACTCGTTATTGTTATAGTATACTAAATGACTCTCAAATTAATATCCTCGTCTCTGACTTGGCAATCATCGTAATCAAGTACCTATTCGAGACACGTAGAGCTGTATAGAGGCTAAACACTGTTCTTTGGCTCGCTATAAAGTTAGAATGAAACGGTGTAGAGTTGTTGCTTGTTTTGTTGGCTAACTGTCGCAGGAACTTGTAGATGATTGAAATTTAGTGAACTTCAACATTCGCTGGTAGTTCTGGCAACTTGTTTAAAATGTCGTTTGCCCATGTTTCGTCGTTGTTTGACTTGTGTAACAATAGGATATTATATACAAAATGGCGTTCACCCTTTGATTCACCCCTTAAAATCAATCTTCGTTTCCAGAATAACTCTTCTATATTTCTATTCTTCTTTTTCACGTTATTATTCTAATTGGAATGGACTATCCATAGCTGAGAATCTTTTAGAAGACAGTGACTTAATATTCTTGGTAATATAAATAAAAATAAGATAATTGAAATGAAACTCGTATTTAATATAATGAATTGTAATGCAGCCTACGCTTGTCAAGACCAACTCCATAATGAAACTTTAATGATTCCACTTCCGTAGTTAAAAAGGTTATCGGAGAATCGGAATTGAATGCAGGGCATGGAAAGGACGAAGAATCGAGAATCCTCCTCGCGAGAGAATATTCCTGACGTAGACGATTCTCTAGTAAAGGAAAATCGATTCATAAGTCCAGCTCATTCATAGACAGGAACCCACGAGCGTTTAAGCCCCAAGAACGTCCCTCGTTGTAGAAACTTCTGGAGAAAATAGACCCATAAGAAAGCGAATATTTACGTATAATCACCTAAATCGAGAATAATTTCCTCAACGGTACACACACGTACGTTCTCGTGCTCGATAATGGCTTTCAAACACAGAAACGAACGTTCGAATTCATTTTCATTCCTCCTGTCTGCTCAGAAAAATTGTTAAAAATCCTCGTCCAAAATGAAATTGGTAGTAGCGACATGTATGTATTTTTATTTAATTTTTGGTTTATATAGATGATATTTATGAAATTGTAAAAGCGTAAAATTTCAATTTCTCTGGTATATTTATAATGATCTTGAATGGTAAAGAGGTCGTGTTGCTGTTGTTTATCTTTGATCTTCATTTTCTATGCCACAAAGTCGTGAACGCGACAAATTTCGTCCCTTTTTCTTTTGTCTACGCCCACTATGCTTCGTAGCTGTAAAAACACGACGTTACTTTTATTCTGCCTTTATTTTTCGACTCCTCTCGAGGGAAACGTGACGAAAATTTCGTACATTTCGAATTACACCTCGATTAATCAAATAAAAGCTGTACACGCGTTTATTTACTCCGAAAGTTGACCAACATTTTATAACGAAAAGGAATTACTCGAGAGAAATGACGAAATGCAATTTCCGAGGCTATTTGCTACCTTACGAAGAGAAACACAATATAGGAAAACATAGAAAATGTAATTAAAATAACGATATCACGAATCTTTACCGAGCGCATAAATTTGCACAGTGCAATTTAATTAACTTGTTTAAATTTTACGGTACATAGAAGTTTATTTACCAGCTAAGGAAAATTGAAAAAGTGTAAAGTGTCATTGGCAATTAAAGCTTTTGTCATGGGTGAATGCGTTTTAAAAATATCGTGTAATTAAAAATATGGAATCGTGAGATTGTCATAATTAGATAGTTGAAGAGAAATGAAAAGGAAATAATGGCTTCACGGAAGAACAAGTTGCATTAGTACGAGGTATTTTTTTACGTAGAATTTAAATTTTACGTAGATATTAAAAACTCCACGTGTTTTGACATGTTATTTGAAAATATAAAACGTCAGGGAAAATGAAAAAATGGAACGATCGCGTTTGGAGGTAGTAAACACCGGTTCCATGGTGTCCGCTGTTCAACAGAGTGGAACTTATCGACCAAATATCGACTCATGGAACTTGAGTTTGTGAACACTTGGTCGGGCATAACGCTGAAGAGCATCCTCGAATCATTATCTAGGGGCTAGTGCTCGACTTCGAGTGGGTCTCAGGCTTTACTTCAGCGAAAGTAGTTCGGCCTGGTTGCGCCTTAAAACTTTATCATACTCTGTTGGTTGGCAGAGGCTGTTTTATCGAAATGGAAAATACAGGTGTAATCGAGCAAAACGACCCATGGTCGAACGATCTAAACGAATCGGATTTGAATGACACTCCAAACGAAATATCGCCGACATTGATTTATGAAAACGACTCAGAGTTGTCTGTATTGGGTAGTTCTTATCGAGTTCCAGATATACTGAAGAAACATATCGAACCGATAGTTCTTGATACGTCGCTATCTTACGTGAGTATGTGCCTATCGATAACTACGTAGTCCGTGGATTGCGGTTTAAGGCGCGTACATTTAAATCTGACCGAAGGATAAGTATATACTTACGAGTAAATTCTTTTTATTTAAGGTGCTATTTAATATTGTAATTTACTTTCAGACTTTAAGTTTAACATAGGACACTGTATAATAAATTTGTGTGAAAATTTTCAGATTCCTGTTTATACACACCTGAAGACGTGTGATTTGAAACCGATCCAAAGACCCTCCACTCCACCTATTTTGGCGGGATTACGATTGAAATGTCAGTGAGTAAGCGTGCATATATTCAAACTACGCATTCTTTTAGATTAGTCAAATGACATTTTTCCTGATTACCGAAATTTTTAGAATTTAATTTTAAGTAATAAATTCATTTAATTTCAAATAATAAATTATCAGGAATTAAATAATATAAAAATAGTGTGGAGGAAAAGAGTTTGAAAAATTTCAGGAATGATATTGAATCTTGCAAATCTTCCAAAGTCTCCCCGTCAACTGGAAGAACAAGTAAAAAGAGATCGTCTGTGACGTTGAAACCGCGGGAAAGTGAAAGAACTGTGAAAATGGAATATCAGATCCAATAGTAACTATTTTTCTAATATACTTAGTAAATAAAAATAAACATATATTATCACGTTAATGTAAAATATGTTTTTTACTATTATTCTCGCGCGAGTTAACCTCTAACAACGAAAATAAAAATTTATGAATATTTTTTACAAAAATGAAGAATATGATCAATATATACCTGTTAACAAGCACATTTTATTTGTTTCTAAAATGTACTTGCTGATAATCTAAAAGAATTTAAATTATATTTACGCCATAGATAAAATATATTTTATGCGATTCGTATACTCTTCTGTCTAGTTTTTATTCGATGCCAGTATAGTTGTGATCTGTGGTGTGACCGCGACAAAATGTACGGAGTAGGTGGTTCTTACGATTAGGTTATATTTAAAGTATTTATCTTTGAAAGAAATGTCGATTCATTATAGTTAATTGCGACAGTGCTTAATACTGTGAACGACGTAGATACAAGATGCGACAATGAAGAAACTCAACGAATTATTCACAGTCTGTTTCTTGTTGCACTATTTCTATAGTGTTTGTACGACGCATTTGCTCATAAACGTAAAAAATCAGGTATCAATCCTTTTCCTACAATATATATGTTATAACAAATGAAAAATGTAACGTTGAATAAAAATTATTTCGATATTGTTTCATGCTTAATAATTCATTCCGATAACCTCAATTGTGTACCATTTGTGTGATTTTCATTTTCAGGGTGGTGATATTCTGTTGGAAACAATTTCTTCAAATGTTACCGAAGATGTTATTACTTTGGAATTTCAGTGTTCAGATGGCACATTAGTAACACAACTTATCGACTTCAAAAATGTAATTCATTATCTTGAAATTGTATACTTTTCCGATATGTTATACAAAGAAAGATAAGATATTTATAAAGATATTTTATTTGTTTTTTCAGGAAGTACAAATAATAAAAGCCTTAGTGCTTGGTGAAGAAGAGCGTGGTCAGAATCAATATCAAGTTTTGTGCTTTGTTAACCATTTTTTCAAAGTGGATTTCATATCTTCTGATGCAATGTCTAAATTGCGACAGAAAAATCCTGGCACCGTACGTGTGGCAGAGGAAGATAAAGGCCATGTGAATTATACCATGGACTTATTCTTAGATGTATCTGAATCCAAAGATATCTCTAAACACATTGCATCACTTTGTGGAGAAGCAGCTGGATCTGCTTATACTAGAAACGAAGATATAAAACAGTGGATTCAGAGGCCTGGTAAGTCTTGCTAAGGAATAAAATACATCAAATTTTCCAAGATATAGCTCCAGGTTTCGAAATTTCTTTGTTTCTTATTTTATTAGGCTCATCTGAACTTTCGCTTATGACAGCTGTGTATAACTTCAGCACAAATTCTTTAACGCAACAAGGTACAAATGATTCAAGGTCTCTATTTGTGACAAGGTGTGCAGATACATCAAATATGTGGGCACCTTGTACGTGTTCATTAGAATTATGTATCGGGTGGTATCCATGTGGTTTAAAGTTTTGTAAAGGTAAAGGTGATGGTAAAAAGGCAGCCACTCCTTATAAATGTGGTATTAAAACTTGTAAAAAGTGTTTTATATTCTCATACTATTCTAAAATGAAGCAAAATTGTTTATGGGATGAATGACATATAAGAACACTGTAGATGTATAGGTTTTACTTTATGAAAGAGAGTAGGGTTATCCAAAATATTAGGAGATGCAACTATCTTTCACATTTTCGCTTTCTTCTTTTTTCTTTCTTTCTTCTTTTCTTTATTGTTTAGAGATTGCATTTGCCTTATACGAATTGATAAATTCTTAAGGAAGCAAACCATTGCCAAGAAATCTTTGTTATTTATGTATATTCGAGGAGTCGTTATTGATCTCACCAAATTTTGAATCTTATTTCACATATATAAATCAATTATTAACCGTGATAATTTTTGTTCAGGGTAATTTCATCTGACAAAATTTTTAAACGTTATTTTTTTATCTTATATAGAAAGATATTTTAAATGTAGGGTTTATATGTTCTCTTTCATAGTATGTATCCATGGAAACAAATTAGGATATGTTAGATAATTTAAAATTAATCATTACAAAATGTTTAAACCCAATTGGTTCATTTGTGGAATCTCTGACGCTGTGTAGCTCTTCACTTGTACCTAGCAAAGCTAAAGACCTCACGTTAGCAATGAAATAGGAGAAACAATTTAAAACAGACAAAGGTGTCGATATTATCTTTGTGGAAATTGTTATTGATCGTGTGCTTTCTAAGTGCCAGTGTTTTTCTACATAAACATATACTCTGTGTCAGGGGTTCCATAATATTGGAAGCAGAATGGAAAAGGGTCCTTGGTACATGTAGTAAGGTATTAACAGACCTGTCTTAGATAGATTCTTACTTTTATAGACTGTACTGAATGGATGCATTTGTAACAATAACATTTGTATTTTACTAGGGTAACAAACTAAGTACTTTATAAGAAGAAACAAAAAAACTATTAGCAAAAGAAACTAATTCTAAAAGACTTACTTAGATCATATCCTATTATACGAGAAGTATTTAAGTTTACACTTATAATACGTCACATTCTCAAATTAATATTTATGTGCATTTATCAGAAAGGTAATCATTCCTAATGTACCTTATACTATATGCACAATGTGTCTTACAAAATACTATTTAACATAGGTACATTGTCACAGTTGAATGTGTGATTGTTTTAGTACTATAAATTCACGTACTTTGTCACAAAGCAACAATATTATTGTATAATAGAAGGCGTATAGTTAATGGAGGAGTTCGAATACGACTGTTTTTATTACCAGTTCACAGTTGAATAAAGGTAACGGCTGGCAATAAACATTCGCGTGTACACATCAGAAACAGCGTAGGTTACAAATAATCCATTCAGGATAACGTGATGACTTGCGCATCTAATTTACTCACATGTAGTGCCACGATGTATTAAACAGCGTGTTTGAGCATATACACGCAGTTCTTTCTTAAGTTATTAAAAATATAAAATGGTTGCTCAATTTATAATACAAATCAAAAAATACAATATTGGAATAGAATTTGTTATTACTTACAGGAAGGGAGGCATTAGATATAAATTTTTCATAAAATGTAAATAATTTTTAAGTATTTAAAAGAAATATTTTTAATCGTTTAATAATCTACGGAATATTTTTCCGAACAACGATTATTATTAAATTTAATCGCGACTTTTATAACGTCGAAAAACATAGAATTATAATTGTAAATTAGCGTTCGTATTTAATTTAATATTCAAAGACGTCAAAGTTAATATTATATTTTTTACAAGTGTATATTATTCGTCTCCAAGTTGAATAACCGATAAACCAACAACTTTTTGATATTTTTAATAATTTTGAAGAAACAATTACGCGTATTTACTCAAACGGTAAATGCAAATGTGTCTGTACAGAATTTTATACGTGACCTGTAAAGCTGCCGTTTACATAAGTTAGGTTTCAATTGTATATAGTGCAGGAGAAGTACGCGCCGACGCAAATTATAAACACTGAGAAGCACGTGAAAATGAATTAGATCTGTGTATATAAAGATCGTTTGTTAATAATCGAAACGTGTACAGTTCGTAGTATATATATATAATATTCAATGAGTGAAATATGGTTAATTTATACAGGATAAAAGGTCATTATTTGTACAAAGAGTTCGCTTGGCATTTAAACGAGAGAAAGAAAAAATGGGAGTATACGTTTCATAGCAAACCACTATAAACAAGACTGCAATATCTGTCCAATTTAATAATAAACATATTATATATACACGTTGCAATTCTCCGCGCTTCCTCACTGACACAAAATCGTATTTAACGAACTTTCTAGTGTAAGTGAACAAAGAAACAAAAAAATATTAAGTATATATACACATATTGCACATACTTACGCTTGTAATCGAACATCTATGAAACTTTGTAAACGTTAAACGGCACCCGACGTTATCGATTCGCTCATGTTTGTTTCACCTAACAGTTGTAACTATACTTCACTGAGAGGTGAACGAAAAAATAGTAACACGCTGTTCGTCGAGAATGAACATCGTTAAACGCATATGTATATGTGAGAGTCAGTGTGATATAACTCGATTAAGTAATTTGTACGTGGACTGTGTAGTTGGTTAAGTTTGCAAACAGCAATATAAATTTGTACATTGTGTATATACGTACCCGCTATCTACAGGGTGACTCACAAAGATTGAGCACAAAATTGAACGATCTTCTTCTTTCTTTTCTTCGTCTTAAAAACGAGATAGAATAAGATACAATTCGACGAATTTTTAAGAAATATTTGTCAAAATTCTAATTCTCGAGGTTGTTACTGGTCTTTTGTACGTAGAAATACGTACGTACCGATAATATCGATTCTCTGTCGATTTTTAAAATCACGAAGAATGAAAATTGAAAATTTCGTTAGATAGGTTATATTTAATTTAAAAATTCGAAACTAATGGACTCGAGAGAATAGGTGATTTATTTATTTGTCCTCTGAGAGTATCTAGCTCGTTTCTTCGCGTTTAACGCCTTCCTTTATCTTCGCGCTTAAGAAGCTCGAATAATCAATTTCTTGTGAATTATCCTGTACAGTTAGTCACCGAATACGGTATAGACAAATGCATAATGTTCAAGATGTTATCGTTAGTATTCCGATAAATTGTATGTGTCATTTAATATGCATGGATAACACGGCAGAAAAAAAAAGGAAAAAGAAAATGGAGAGACGTAAAAAGAAATCCATATGAATAATATGAGGGTATAGTCATTAATTAATAATATGGTCCAAAGTAAGGAAATATTTCAAACAATTGTTCCTGTTTGGAGAAATTCACAGTGTGTTAATCCTTCCTCTCTTCTCTCTCTCTTTCTCTCTCTTCTCTCTTTCTCTCTCTTTATCTTTTAAAGATTAAAAAAAGCACTGATTTAGCATGGTTGCGAAGATTACGGTGAAATTATGATTTTAGCAAGCGGTAGTAGTGGGATATAATAAAATGTGGGAAAGAAATGGGAATACTAATAGCATTTAAACGTTTTCTATCGACATTCCGGGTCGGAATTTGATGTTACTCACCGTGTATGATTTCAGCTTTACATATGACATTGTAACTTATACACATATTTTTTATATATATTTAATAAAAAGAAGGAATAAGTAATCGTTGCGTTTGATTCTGTTCGTCTTAGCAGACGTTCGTTTCAATGATATATTAAACGTAGCATAATCTAAACAAATTTTTGTACGTTAGAGCGTTACAATTATCTTGTCCACCATTGTGTCATTGTCACCGTGTCATTCATCATTGTTATTTTCGTTGAAGAAAATGTATGTGAAGAACAAATTTCCACATTCATTAGGACGTATACGTATACATATAACGGTTAGTAATTTTAATCCTTGTAATTACATCAATTTTTCCAATCTCTTTAAAGCTATTTATATTTCTTTACAGCCACGAATATCGAGTAATTGCAAAAATAATCGAGCTAGGAGAAAGACGGGAATATCGAAGTCGACAAGATAAATACAACATCCTATATATCGCTAATATCATACTTAACGATCCTCGCGTCTTCGTTCTTCGAGTCTCCGAACAGGCTTGCTGATAGTGAGATTAATTGATTCGCTGATGAATGGTCGAAGGATAACCCATGAATGTTGTTGATAATTGTCTCTATTAAGTACGATACAATAATCATAATAATTTAGTACTCTCCCCAGCGTTCTTTACACTCGTTACCTAAATTCCATATGTCGCTTACGCAAGTGTATTCAAAATCGAGGATCGAACGATAAAATATCCACGTTTATTGCCACGCTACATATAGTATCATCGTATGCTACATAGAGTATTAAAAACTATGAAAGTAGAAGCTTAACGTGAGTAGGAAAAAAAAAAAAAAAGAAAAAAAAATCGAAAAAAAAAAAAAAGAAGAAGACGAAAAAGAAACATTCGTTCTGCTAAGTTTATGCTACATTTACAGCGAGAATTTCGTTCAGTCATCTGAAACAGAGGAAAATAAGGAGATCGTGCTTATACACATGTAAAATCGCCAACGAGGAGGCTCAGAAAAATATCGTACTCTTATTGGAAACAAGGTACCTCGATTAAATATCGTCCTTTTCTTCTCTCTCTCTCTCTCACACACACACACTCTCTCTCTCTCTCTCTCTCTCTCTCTTTTTCTTTTAAATAAAGAAGGTTCACAGAAGATTCTAAATTATCGCCATAAAAATATATATATCTATTTATATATTTTTCTCTCTCTCTCTCTTTTTCATGTACATTAAGTATCTGAATTTTGAAATGTGCATCATAAATAAGATGACTAAATTGTCGCGCTAAAGACAAACGTCTCGTACCCGTGATCATCGTCATGATCACGGGAAACGATGCAACCTTTTTTTTCATTTTTTTTCTTTTTTTCTTTTTTTTTCCCCTTAAGTAGCCTGCCACTGACACAGGATCGATCGCTACGAGAAACCGATACGTCAATTCGCTACGGAAAATCATTCCATCTATCTTCGACGGTGGAATATGCAGGTATGCTCTAAATATACAGTGCTATGCCGTACGATGTGTGCATAGGTGGATTAAAATAGCCCGACGATAATGCTGTCGCTTTCGACGATTCTATCATCGAACATTATCATCCCGATCATCGATGATCGTATAAATTAAATAAACACGATCGCGCAAAATTTCTACAACCGCAACGACCACACCGGACACCCGAAAATGGCGGCTCTCTACGTCCGAGGCACGTTGACCGCGCGAGGGGTCCGAAATCCAAGGCGTGGACTTTTCCGAAATTCGAACAGATCCGATTGGCTGAAAAATATCGCCTAGTCGAGTTAAATAACAGATTACGAGGTATGGCTGCGATTAAGTATCGATGAAAAACTGCCTTTCTACACGCCGCTCATCATGTGGGTCGACATTGCTAAACACAGCCCGGAGCCTAGGATGCTTCCCTCTATTTTATTTTCGTTACCTTAAATCACGCCGACAGATGCTGGGTCGACTGTAACAAATAACTGTCGACTGATGTGCACAATTGTTTCTAACGAGGACGTATTAAATTATCCCGCGTGCTGCTCGCTTTTCCAACGAGAAAACTCAAATTCATGGGCACGCGTGCCTCACGTTCGATACGCCCCGACGAGATCGACCGTTCGCACTCGCGGGTATTTTTGATTTAATTTCCCCCACCACCGAGGGATGTTCGCTGCTGCGTTCGTTATCGATAAATTTATCGAGACGTCGAAACGATATTCGCTTCGAATTTTTCCGAGACGACGAACGCAGATGCATCGCTGAAGCTTAAGGTCAACTACTCCAGGATGGATTTTGTACAGCCAGGATTATTTACCTACGATAAAGTTCATTGTGCCTTTCGAAATCGTACATGAATTAGAAAAAAACTAGAAACGTGCACGCATGTACCGGAATTCGACGAGAAGTTAAAGACCTTTCGCGGTGACTGTAATGAACCATTCGAGTGCAAAAGGTTAAGAGGATGAGATAACTCGTAACATCGTCCACAGCGGAGGAAGCGAACCTAAAGATCAATGTACTTCAACCCGCGAAGAGGATACTGGGAAGAAGATAGAATTGCAAGAATTTCACGGAATCTTTCAACCACGCGTCGCGATCAAGAGCATTAGCACCGGAAGTGTGTACGGAAATGTGTATAAGCACCGGATTCTTCGACGCTAGCACCTAATTCTTCTCTACAGCCATTCGAGATAAATCGCCCGCATCAGAAATAGTGTCTAGGGCAGGGCTGTCCACGGGAGGGGCTTGTCTGGTAGAAATTTCGCATGATCCGGTATAGCCAGAGGAATCGCTCGCTGGTTGACACCACGAGTATTAAGTACTCGAGAACACGCGTTTCGCTACCGAGTAACCACGGCTGGTTCCCTGTTCTCTATCACACGGTTACTCCACCTGTTCCCCTACGTTGTACCATAACGTCCATGAAGAGGATCGAGCAACTCGATGCCCAGTGTAACGATTAACCACATGGAGCAACTCCTTCGCGTCGATCAACGTCAGAGATCCATGATCGACATCGAGGCGTCCATGGAACTACAACGACCAAGCTTCTCAGTGTCCTCCTATGGACAGCTCTGGTCTAGCTGAAACACTAGCTGCTGTAACAAGTCTTGCGCACGTCGGCAAGTATAACACTGAAATCGTCGTCCGCCTTCGAAACATGCTCGATACTCTGCGACTGTTGACCCTGCTGACCCTGCTGAGGCTGTTGCTGCTGCTGCTGCTGCTGTTGTTGCTGTTGTTGTTGTTGTTGTTGTTGTTGCTGTTGCTGTTGTTGCTGCTGATGCTCCGGGTACTTAGCCACGTCCATAGCCTGGTGATACTGGTCCATCGCGTGACCTATAGCCACGTTGGAGCATCGAGCATCCTTGGTCTGATCGTCCACGATGCACTGAGAGTTCGAGATGTCCAGCTGCGTCTGCTGGGGCGTGTAGTAACGCAGATCACTGGCATAGTTGTGATTGCTGTCGAGGAGATTCTGCGCGGCCAGGCTGGTGTGCGCCACGCTGGTCGGATGAGAGTACTTGAAGTACTTCTCCAGCTGCAGCGTCTGTTGCTGCTCCTCCTCAGCGCTGGTGGCCATCGCTGCCTCCATGTGGCCCAGTATTGCGTGCTGTTGACCGGCGCTGGTGCCCTCCGTCTGATACTCCTGGTGATGAGTCATTTGGTACCGGTGGGATACACCTGAAAATAAATCGGTCGTCGAGAAGAATGACCACGTCTCCTTCCGCGCGTGACGTCGCGAATAAAGCAGCTATTATGCGTCTCGAGGAGAAAGCAACGAGATTTCGGGATGCTCGACTTGGTGCAGATAAGTGGCTCGGCTTTGCGAAATCGCATTTAGGCTCGAGGTGTTGAGGTAATCAACTTATTGATTTATGAAAGCTCCGGTATTCCACGGTTCTTGTTACACGATTTCAACTCGGACCGTTGGCAGTGCCTTCAGAAATTATTTCTATTTTATGCGTGCATTTACGTTTCAGCGTTTACAGTTTATCGTCTAAAAGGTTGAATCCGATATTCGTGCTTTGCGAGGACTGAGAGAGACTGGATTTGCGTCTCAACGTTTCCACCACCCCGAATCCTTGACATTAATTCCAAACTCATCGTGGACATCGAAACTGACCATTTCCAGGAGTTTGAAAAAGATACAGTTATATAGTCTGCAAGTATTTCAACGAACTGACTCGGATATAGAAGGATCTCTGACGAAAAATAAAAATTATTGGAAACTTCGTTCCTTCGAATAAAATATTAAGAAAATTGTCGATAAGAGATAAACACTGGAGCTTTTGAAGTTACCTTGCAGACCGTAATTTAATTATACGCGTACATAAAAGAGGCGTCAGACACATTGACACGATGGAAAATTTATCACTGAACGTACACGTCTGTCACATATACGGACATAGCCAAAATATCTGTCGTCTGACAATTTGCTTATTTTAGCCACAGATCTTCACAGATTCGAGCTGCAAATAACCCACGGTAAAAGATACGTTACCCAGTGGGAGACATGTCACGTACATCTTCCCTCGACAAAACCTAACCATCTTCATCGACCAATAAAAACGAAAAAAAAAGAAGAAAAATGAAAATTAAGTTAATAGGTCAAGACATACACACAACTGATAGGTAAGCAATCCTCGAGCTATGAATATCCACTGAGAACTGTATACGTATATCAAACACCAAGATGTTTTGTTAACAGCAAGTTTAAAACCCGGAGGAAACGTTTAGGGAAAGAAGAGTAGTATAGCAACAAAGCCGGGTACGTAAAAATGAATAAAGGATTACCGGAACAACCTTCGGCGGCTCCGCGAATCCCCATGGACTGTTGTCGATTGGCACACTGAACAGGATTATAGTTGCCCTCGACGGTGGACTGCATCGAATAGTTGGCAGTCTTGGACGACTGGGTGCTCGTGTAGTGCTGCAACGATTGATCGTGCGGGGATGCGACTGGCGGATAAAAAGTTCCCGTCACAGAGCCAACATTCTCAAATCCGGAGCGCAATTTATTGCACGACACCATCATCCCGTTTGCTATACCCACCGCGGCTATGCTCGACGGCTGTCTCTCGAAATTTAAGTAACTCACCTGGAAAAAAGAAGAACGACGATTGGCACTTTCACTCGTGCTTCGTGTTACCGTAATTGAGACGTTGGCTTGTCCAAACGTTGGGATAGATAGATAGATAGATGGACAGATAGACGTTGCGTGTGTTTCATCGCGATATGAGAGAATTGCTGGATTTTGGACTCGTTGACAGGACAAATTTGTTAACTTTAGAACTGTCAAACTCGTCAAACTGATTTTACCTTCGGATTTTTGTAATTATATATATTTTTATATATTTTCGTTGTGCTACCAGAGTTATTAAAAATGGAGCACCATACGAAAGAATAATATTGTTCATTGTTGAGCAATATTTATAATTATTAATTTAAAACCCGTGTTTTCTGTCAAAGTTCTTGCGTGAATTTTGGAACACCTTATAGTAATGTTCTCCATACTTCATTTACAAAGGAAGAAACGAAAAATCGTGTTCCATAATTAACTCATATAGGAGAAAATTTTAATCAATTTTAATATTTGTATATTATAATTGCACGTTGATGATTGAATCGAGATTGCTTTGCATATACATGGTTATGTCAATAGCACAATATTTGATACATAATATGAGATTGTGCAATTCTGAGGATTATACATTAAAAATAACGAGTGGTGGATTACAGTGTATATATCAGACTAAAACTCGTATACCAGTGGATCAAAAATTAAAAGAAAAATATGTAAGAAAAGTGGATGAAGTATACAACACTGGAAATAAGAAATTCCTCGGAGATTGTTCGAATAAAAGGATATCAACGATAGGAATAAGAATAATGAAATTATACTTGGCCGTAATACACGATAAATATTCGATGGAATAAATAAGTAAATAAATAAATAAAAATATATAGAGGCTTTCGTACGCAGAGTTGATGTATGCAAATGGAATATCGCGATCTGGAGAATTCCAAGTACCTAATTCGAAACTTGCACGGTGCTCGTAATTTCAGAAAAATGAAGGATAGATTTTTCAAAGGTAATCACAAAGCAACCCACTAACAAGTCTACATTTGTCCTCATAGTACGCAACAAGATCATTCGTATGCACGCCATTACTCACTGATTTTTTGTAAGTCAGAGTATCTGTGTAAGCACCAGAATTCTGACACGACGATATGCTAGTACCACCAGCATGACCCGTGTGCAGCTGATTATCGGTACTCATGAAAGTGTACCGTTTCGTTTGCTCGCCCATTTCGCCGTGCTGCTTCGACGAACCCTCCAACAGATCTCGTTCGGGATCTGGATTTTGATTCGATGGCAAATGCGTTCCGTCACCTGGCGAACATTAATTCCTCGATAATCAAAAACCACCAAGTCTTACCACTGTACAGAATCAACTGGGAGCAAAATTTTTCCTCGAGAAACTTAACGAGGACATTATTTAAAAACCCGATGGACAAATCAGACAAAATTAATAATACAAAATATCTATATTTATATAAAGATACTTTTAATCCTTTGCACTCGACGAATTCTTCGTCACAGAAAAATAGCAATTCGAAAACTTTCTGTCATAAAATCGACGATATTTTTAAAATGGCAAATAAGAAATCGTATGCAAATTAAGACGTAGAATTATTTTACTTCGACATTCCACGCATCGTTAAGTAATTTTAAATTTGATATATTAATTAATATCGATTTTTAAAATCTGATTAAATGGCGACTGAGAGTGGCCTCTCGTGTGCAAAGGATTAATAAAATATTCTGACAATGAATTTTCTAAAAATGATATAATGAATAAAATAAAATATTTGATATAATATAAAAATTCGTGGACAATTTATAAAATGTTTTATTGAAAAAATTTTAATTGGATGTCACAGAAGATTCTTATTCTTCGAAGGAATATTTGAAAATGGAAGGATGGGAAATGAAAAATGGAATATTTGGAGGTGGAAGAATAATTCATCGTTTAAATAAATAAATGAATTATCGCTTTGGTATTATTGAAAATATGACGGGAGGATCTCATTCGTAGTTCATAATTTAGTTACACAGATATAATTCCCCGAGTTGCACGGTTGTCTGAACGGTAATTAATGCGAGTACAAGGTCTCACCATCTGGCTCGGGACTGGCAACTGGAGATATGTCCGGTGTGTGAATGATAGGCGTATAAGGACTACCGTACAAGGAATTGCTCTCCGATTTGTACTCCTGGATACCTTGCTGCTGCTGCTGCTGGTGATACAGGGATGAGATCGGGGAATGGCCGCCCCACGGGATCTGAGGAATGCCTTGATAACTGTCCATCTTGGACCTTAAATAAATATCGAACGTCACTTCGTAATTCTTCCAAGAAACGTCTTTAACGCGTTGGTGGATAAAACGAAATAAGAAGCACGGGCTGTGAATAATTTAGCACAGGAAACGGAAGAGAAAATTAAATTCGATGCAAGAAAGACAGGATTCCTTTGCTCCGATGAAACAACTATATTTACAATCTAGAAATATAAGTAACATAAATCGATTTTAAATTATTAAGATGTACATGTCGATATTTTTACGAGCGTCGAATTTCGTCACGTTTGTGCATGTAGAAAAATATAAATTGTGATTAATTGGTTATATTGTTAAAGAAGGGATATTTTATGTCGGTATGTATTGAACATTAAATTTGCATACGGCGCAAAGAAACACTGAAAATCTTAAGGTGTGCTGTAAATCACAAGGTATGCTAAAGTGAGGTGCGAGACGTAATTCATGAAACCTATTCGTAACAGTGTTCTTAACTATGGCAGAAGCTGTTACATTAAAATTAAGTAAGGAAAAGGTTACATGCAGGGAATATTTTCAGAAAATACGATGTATTTTTACCGATTGTCAAAAAGTGGGCCCCACGTACAAAATATCGGATTTTCTAATACCAACGAGTGAAAAGTGACAAATTGAATTGACACTGCTTAACAAAATTCGAATCTTAAACAATGTTTAAAAAATTGAAAAAGAGAAGGGCAAATTATTTCCAAAAGATACGCTGTATTTTTACTAATTGTCAACGAAGTGGGCCCCACGTACTATATATCGGATTTTCTAATACCAACGAATGATAAGTGACAAACGTAATTGACAGTGCATAGCAAAATTCGAATCCTAAACAATGTTTAGAAAATTGAAAAAAAGAAGGGCAAATTATTTTCAAAAGATACGCTATATTTTTACTAATTGTCAACGAAGTGGGCCCCACGTATAAAATATCGGATTTTCTAATACCAACGAGTGATAAATGATAATCGGAATTGACACTGTTTAACAAAATTCGAATCTTAAATTATACTTAGAAAATTGAAAAAGAGGAGGGCAAATCAACGTCTAAATTATTTCCAAATTTATTAAAAACCACGACACGAATATCTACACACGATAAATCGCGCCCAACGTAACACCACCCTCAACCCTAAAAGACAATAACCCTACAATCCACGTTAAATCCCCCAAAACATAACCTCATCATCGAAACTCAAATTCTTCGTTAGTAACACCACCACCATACTTGAGAAGTGTCATCAAAAACCTAGAAGACTAATCACACTTGTCTCACCGACGCAATCCGAATCTAACACCCCCATGGAACTCGTCATGGAGAATAGATACTAACATCTGGATCGCGTCGCACACCTTGCACATGCTGGATTAATTCGGCGTCGGGCCGAGGAGGATGTTGAAAAATCGCGGCGAAGCAAGAGGAGATATCGACTTACATGGAATGATGAATCGTGGTACCAGAGGGGTTGGACCTATTGGCCGTGGTGTTGGTCGCGGACGGAGGAGAGGACGGCGCCCCTGGGGCCCGTTTCGCGTGTTTCCTGCGCCGTGGCCTGTACTTGTAGTTCGGATGTTCCTGCATGTGTATGACCCTCAGCCTCTCGGCTTCCTCGACGTACGGCCTTCTGTCCTGCGGGGTCAACCCTCGCCATTTCTTTCCTGAAATACACGGGGGCCGTCCGTTAGCCGGTGCCGCAACGGTGCCACGATTTTCGATACGACATCGCGGCGTTAGGTACTCGAGATGCTTACCACCGGTGTTCCTGAATTCAGGGGGCGGCGTGAAAGGTAATAAAAATCGTATGAGTAATGTTACACGTGGACGTATGTGATATAAAGGAAGGGGAAAGGGTGTGGAAATGGTTATTGCTCTTTTTTCCTGGATACCTTCGGAGACCGAAGTTTGGTGCTCGTGGGTGTTGATTTTTTCCTCCAGTCGGCAGGAGTTATGCAATATTCGCGGCTTATTTTATCGGGGCCCAGGTTTAGATAAGGTTAAATCGGGTGTCTCGAGATTGTATTGAAATTTATAACTATACTTCTCACTTCGCTAGTAGGAATATTAATAATCGTTTTAAATAATTCTGACGATTTAACATTAGAACTACCGTTCTTTAATGGGCACCTAATTATAACGTGCACAGATTATAGTTAATTTCAGCGGTACGATGAATATGTGCGAATATATCGATTACGGTTCTTTCTTAATACGAGTTGATACCAATTTTATTCTTAAAGCAGGTGTATGTGTTCGGTGATTGCAAAAAGGAAAATTCTGGGACCAGTCTTTTTCACTGGGTTACTAGTTCTAGTGTTAAATATGTACTTGGTGTATCCATATTTTAATATTTCAACGTGGACAAATTTTAGTGTTCGTTATAATTTTATTCCTGGTGTGTCGAGTAAAATAGGATTAATTACCTTAAATACTTTATCCATTAACAACAATGATTTAAGTAGTCGATGTATAGGTATTTTAATATAGAATATTTACCAGATATATAAAATTCTCTTATATTATTCGTTGTAACTGTAGTTTCCATGTGTCAAGTAAAACGGGAATAATTATTTCGTACATCAATAATGGCCATAACATCCTCGAGGTATTAATATTTCAATGTATAGTGTTTAATAGGTACATACAATTTTGATATCCATTATAGCTTTACTTTTAGTCGAGTTAGATAGAAATTATTATCTCAAGTAGTTGGTATACTAATAACGGTGATTTAAATACTCGGTGGATTAATATTTTAATACACGGTGTCTTATAGGTACGTACAATTTTGATAACTACGTTGCTATCTGACCGGACTCCCGATTCGTTATTTACGCGTGGATTACGAGTGGATTACCAGTACAGGCCGCGTTAAGATGATCCTTTTAAGTGGCAAAACGAACGCTTCTGACACCGACGAATGAAACGCTTCAATTTCCATCGTAAACGTTTTACTAGAGAAAATTCTAGGAATATAGATTTATCGCTAAAACGAGAAACTCGCCTTGAACGTTTCAATCCAGCCCGCCGTGTACACAGATAAGTACAGAGGCATAAACCTTGCGTGAATTTGTAATCATAAAAGACGCCATAAATTCGCAACCAGCTGTTACTTTCTTTGCACGTGGAACACTATTCGCTGGATTTAACACCCACCACGAGGAATACATTTCCAACCAATTAACAAGATGAACAAGACAATTAACGACTCAACAATGACGTCCCGTAATATGTACCTGGAGTACTAATTAGCTAAAGGTACCTACAATTTCCACAATTTCTTCTACGACCTCGCATAAATGCCAAACTCACTATTACGATGCTGAATTTCTGACAGGAACTTTGAAAGTAATTCTGTGTCAACATCTTGTCAACATCTTTTTCAGTATTATAATTAACGTTAATCGAATGGAATATTTTTCCAATATTCCTGAAAATATTTTACAGAATATACGCAGGCAGAGATAAGTTTGGTTGCGCTAAACAGGAAACGGAAGAACGAAACGTATATTGCACATATTAGTGACGCGGATTAGCATTTTCAAATGATGCAACACATGTCCCGAGTACGTAATATACTATGTATTATATGGTATATATCAGTGTCGTAATCCGAAGTAGCAATTATCATTTGGAACACTGGGTTACTAGTTCTAGTGTTAAATATGTACTTGGTGTATCCATATTTTAATATTTCAACGTGGACAAATTTTAGTGTTCGTTATAATTTTATTCCTGGTGTGTCGAGTAAAATAGGATTAATTACCTTAAATACTTTATCCATTAACAACAATGATTTAAGTAGTCGATGTATAGGTATTTTAATATAGAATATTTACCAGATATATAAAATTCTCTTATATTATTCGTTGTAACTGTAGTTTCCATGTGTCAAGTAAAACGGGAATAATTATTTCGTACATCAATAATGGCCATAACATCCTCGAGGTATTAATATTTCAATGTATAGTGTTTAATAGGTACATACAATTTTGATATCCATTATAGCTTTACTTTTAGTCGAGTTAGATAGAAATTATTATCTCAAGTAGTTGGTATACTAATAACGGTGATTTAAATACTCGGTGGATTAATATTTTAATACACGGTGTCTTATAGGTACGTACAATTTTGATAACTACGTTGCTATCTGACCGGACTCCCGATTCGTTATTTACGCGTGGATTACGAGTGGATTACCAGTACAGGCCGCGTTAAGATGATCCTTTTAAGTGGCAAAACGAACGCTTCTGACACCGACGAATGAAACGCTTCAATTTCCATCGTAAACGTTTTACTAGAGAAAATTCTAGGAATATAGATTTATCGCTAAAACGAGAAACTCGCCTTGAACGTTTCAATCCAGCCCGCCGTGTACACAGATAAGTACAGAGGCATAAACCTTGCGTGAATTTGTAATCATAAAAGACGCCATAAATTCGCAACCAGCTGTTACTTTCTTTGCACGTGGAACACTATTCGCTGGATTTAACACCCACCACGAGGAATACATTTCCAACCAATTAACAAGATGAACAAGACAATTAACGACTCAACAATGACGTCCCGTAATATGTACCTGGAGTACTAATTAGCTAAAGGTACCTACAATTTCCACAATTTCTTCTACGACCTCGCATAAATGCCAAACTCACTATTACGATGCTGAATTTCTGACAGGAACTTTGAAAGTAATTCTGTGTCAACATCTTGTCAACATCTTTTTCAGTATTATAATTAACGTTAATCGAATGGAATATTTTTCCAATATTCCTGAAAATATTTTACAGAATATACGCAGGCAGAGATAAGTTTGGTTGCGCTAAACAGGAAACGGAAGAACGAAACGTATATTGCACATATTAGTGACGCGGATTAGCATTTTCAAATGATGCAACACATGTCCCGAGTACGTAATATACTATGTATTATATGGTATATATCAGTGTCGTAATCCGAAGTAGCAATTATCATTTGGAATTTAATTTCATCGAAGCTTCGTTCCTCAGACGAAGAACATTTTCAATTATTAACAAATATTTTTCATGATTTTAGAAAGACAATTGTAACGTCACGAATGCTAAAGTAAATTAGCCTTCTCCGTTTTTACAATTCCGTTTCGAGGATTAAGTATTAAAATTAATACTTCAAGCAGCGAATCTAAAACCATCGTATCTTTGCAATCAAGTGAGTACAGTGCGTCACGTAATTCATACTAACCTTCTACCATGAAAGATCAGCATTTGCTATTCCTAATTAATCGCTATGATTACATCCAAATACAAAAATTCCACAATTGCAGAATTGGAAAGGATTTCATCGTCTCAAGGCTCAACTCACTGCCAAAATGAATTCAAAACCGACGACCATTCCTCAAGAACTAAATCTGCAATCGACTTGCTATAAATATTCGTCAGTACAGAACTCTGTCACAAACTTGACAAGATCACAAAGATCATTACTAACCAAGAACCAAATCCAAAATCGCAATTGGCTGGTTATCAGAACGGAATCTTGGCAGTTTGGACGTTACCTTCTGAAAGTTCAAGCAGCCACGACAATTAACACGTTAAAACGAGCCACGAGCATGGAAGAACTACATCCAAAAGCATCTGCGCAATCTCCGTTCCGATCGACTCGGTGGAACACGCCTCATCGAATCGAATCTTTCACCACGAACCTATAAATTCTTCCACGTAAGATCAGCGTTCACCATTGCTACGTACTATTGCAGGCTCGGTGCCGCTAAAGCTGGCCGAGGAGGAAGGTATCGCAGCGTTATTTCGAGGATCGATAAGACCGGCTGCGGTTCGTTCGCCGATTGGCCGGCGATACTCTTAATTCATGCTACGAGGCTGGCCCCTAATTGCCCGCTACGTGGCTAGGTCGTCGTCGTCCTCGTCGTCCTCGTCGTCGTCGTCGTCGGTGGAGGAAGCGGAAAAATGGTCGGACGAGCGTAGATACGAATTACAGGAGGGCTTGGCCGGCCGGACGACGACGGCTGGAATCTGCCTTAGTTGCGTTCAATATGCCCGTCCGGCATGGTAGGCCGGAATATCATTAAGCAGGGATAAGGGTTAATACGAACGTAAGATGTTCACGACAAGAACGAAAAACTTGAGCGAGGCGGATGTATATGGTGTGCACGTACATATGTACACGGGATCGGCGTATACGGGGCCGTATAGGTACATAGGCGCATGGGGGCGTAGATATGGGTGCGCCCGTGCCTTCAGCCAGCCACAAGGCACGAACCATTATTTCATATTTCATTTTGTATATTTCAACTCCGGAGGAGACGCTAACCCGAACGACTCGGCCTCGGAGAGGGAGGCAGCGGATAAAGAGGAGAAAACGAAAACGGCTCGCTAGAGAGAAAGAGAGAGAAAGATACGTGGAAAGGAGAGAAGAAAAAGACAGATGGAAAAAGAATATATATATATATATATTGGAGGAAAAAAAAAGATGGCCGCAGAGTCCTCTAGCTCTCCCTGTAAAGTCCATTTTTGTCGCCCCAAGTTTCTTCTCGCTTCGCTCTTGTGTCGAGTCGTCTTCTTCCTCTTCTTCTTCCTCTTCTTCTTCCTCCTCCGCTTCTTGTCTGCCAGCGGCCAACCTCACCGCTGCCCTTTTTTGCGCTAAGCGTACTTTTCGTCGCGACAGC